CCAAAACCTTATCTGGGAAAAGGTAACTGCCGGGAGAAAGAGACACTTTGTACTTGGTGTTTTTTTTTGTTTTTGTTTTTGTTTTGCACCGAATGCCTTCAAGGCATGACTGGCTGTCTTGTGTTGTGGGGATCGAACCACAGCAACCTGAGCCTGACTGCTTTGTTGAAGCAGCCACTTAAAGAACTGAGCTAAGGGGCAGGCCCCCGACACTTTGTACTTGGATCAGGACTGAATGCAAACACTTGTCAAACCATAGAATGCAGTTCAACTGTGCAGGTGGGGAGTGAGGATACTGAGGGAGGAGAATCTGGATGAGGCTCTCTGGAAGGGGCCTTCCTCTGTTCCTGTATGAAGGGCAGATCAAAAGGGAGAAGGGTCCTGGGCTCGGCAGCACGCACCTGTAACCCCGGAACTCGGGTGGCTCAGGCAGGAGGATCACTGCTGGTTGGAGGCCACCCTGGGCTACGTAGTGACAGTTTTTTTCAGGTAATTGGCTTAGCAGAGAAACAGGCAGAAAGAAGAAGGGAAAGGGGCTTTATTTTCTTTGAGGACATGGAGAGAAGAGAGAATGTGGGGAAGGATGAGGAATTCTCTGGATTGGAACAAAGGGAGGCTGAGGCTTTTATGGCCTTTGCCAGGGGTGGAGTTTGAAGGGGATGTTTAGATACACCTGAGAGAGCTGACTGGGTGTCTTCCCTGAAGCAGCAGGAAGGGTGAAAGGAAATTGTACCCTGGGCTAAGTTGGAGAAGAAGGCGGAGGTGCTCTTGGGGAAGGTGGGCTTGTTTTTAAGGGCATCAGCCAATTAGATGACCACCATAATGATTTTAGCGATTCATAGTAGGGCCAGAACCTATCACATAGTCAGTTTAAAAGTGGCCTGAACTATATCACAAGACCCTGCCTCAAAATGCCAAAAAGAGGAGGAGGAGGAGGACGAGGAAGAGAAGGAGGAGGAGGAGAAGGAGGAAGACGAGAGAAAGGGAAAGCCCCTCTTATCATAGCTCAAGCTGGGATCCCCAGCCTCCTCTTCCCAATAAAGCTGCAAAGGCCCGAAGAGCTGACCTGGGCCGGTCGCTCAGGGTCACTGGAGAGCGCAGTTCAGACAAAATACTGTGGGCAAAAGTGAAACCGGATGGAGCCGGGGCCGCTGGCCAGGCTCTGGCTGCAGGTAGGGCTCACGCTCTCCTTCATGTGGGGACAGAGAGAGGCCGTTTGCTCTGTTCTCAGCCAGACACGCAGGCTGAAAGGGAAGTCGGCAGAATCACGGGCGACTCCGCCCTCAGGCTTGGGAAGAGCCGCTTGCCCCACAGCCCCCCACAGCCCCCCACAGCGCCCCACAGCCCCCGGGACCGCCCCTCTCTGAAGACAGCGACTCCTCGAGAGATCGAGAGATCGTCATGAACTACTCCTTGTCCCTGACGCCTTTCGTACACTTTCCCTCCCAGCAAAGCCCAGCAGCCGTCTAGGTCCTCCCGGACCCTGAGTGAGAAGCGCGCTGCTTCCCCGAGCGCACACAGCCCCGACAACGCCCTGGGCCAGGTGAGAGCCAGGCGCTGGCACAGCGTCCAGGGTCGCCCCCACGTTTCTAAGAATCACCCATGACCTTCATGAGGAGCCTTGCTTTCTGCTTTGTCTTATTTTTGAAAGACATTAGAAAGCATAGGCTACTTCTGCTAAGAACAGAATAGTGCAGCTGACCGGATTTGCCCTTGCTTTAAGGTTCTAGTACGGCCTTTTGTAGAAGTCTCTTTTCAACGAACGGTGTGCCGCACAGCCACGGCCGAAGGACCAAATCCCAGCTGGAATGAAGAACTTGAGTTTCCCTTCAGGTGAGCGCAGCTGTCTTGAAGGAGCCTGAGGATCGCTTGAACAGTGTGAAGGCCACGGAGGCCCAGTGAGGAACGGCGGAGGCGAGGCAGCTGGTAGCTGGGAGGAGGGGCCGGGGCCAGACCCCAAGTCCTACCTGTGTCTCTCAGCCACAGGGGACTCCACAGAAATGGAACAGTGTCTGGTTTGGAACCTGGGGTCACGGTGGGACACTCTGTGTCTGGCTTTTTTATTGTTTGTTTGTTCATTTGTGACAGGATCTCACAAAGGTGCTAACTTCCCTAGGCTGGGTTTGAACTTATGATCCTCCTGCCTCAGACTCTCAGAGTACTAGGATTCCAGGCATAAGCCAGCATGTCTAGCAGGCTTTGGCTTCCTGTATCACCAAATTTCTCATTACCTTGACTCCACTGACCCTGCCCTCCTTGTCCTGTCCTTAAGCAAGATTGAAGCGCCCTAGGTCTCCTAAATGACATCTTTGTCCTTGCAAAAAAAAAACAAGCATTCCACAACACTGATCCAAGAATTCCAGCTATTTTAATGATTTTTATTATTTTAGTACTTAAAGGACCCTTATCCAAACTTCTGCTTTTATGGAGAAGAAACAAATATCCATAAAGGGAAGGTGATGTACTAAAGCCACACAATAACGTAGCGACAGAGTAGGGCTAGCAGGGAACAGACACCACTGTCAAAACAGCAGAGAACACTGCCACTTGAATGCGAACACCAGCCCCTCCAGGAAGAGCCCTGCCCCCTGCACTGGTTTCCTCCTGTATGAGAAAGTGAGTGGAAGGGAAGGAGCTCAGCTCCGCAGCGACAGGCTGGCTCCTGGGAGCTGCAGTGCTAGGCAGCCCGTGTCCTGGGAGGCCTGTGGCCCTGCACCGAGCCAGCGCCATCCCTGCAGCTGCTGCTTGCCCAGCTTCCGGTGGGCTTGGCAGAAATGCTAAGACTCAAAAAAAAA